TTTTAGCATGAAAATAATCCAAAATATGTAAAAAAAACTACTTATTTAAAAAAATAAAGTACTAAAACAAGAGCCCCTTATTTTATTAAGAATTTTGGCGAAGAAATTGTAAATTAAGAATATTCTGACATTGTGAGATGAAATAATGGATGAAACGTACMCCAAAAATTATGTAAAACTCAGTTAATTTGCACATTGGTCGACTTGAAATAGTTAGGTAGTGATTTGTGAAGATTATAAGAGACCAATATAAAAGAAATTTGCCCAAGGAATGTGTAATTTAATTTAATTTTTTTAATTTGAGGTTATGACATGAATTTATTATTTCTATCGACGTAACAAAAGCTAGATGTACCTATTGAAAAATTGTGAAATCATATAGTATGAAGTTTAGAAAGGGGCGAAATAAATTTAAATAATTGTAGTGTTTGTAGAGGGTGTATCAATAAATGGATATGGAATTCTTAATAAAACTTCAAATTATGACTTGTTTACAAATTAATTGTAACTTGAAGTAACTAACAACAGTAATTCCAATGTGTACTTGATCGAGAACAATAATGAAATAAATATATTACAAAATCCGATAGTGTGAGTTCTTATTAATCATATAAAATATTTGCAAATCAGGTAGTGTGAGACTGAGAAGGGGGCGAGCGGCAAAGCCGCGATCCCCTTTTATTTTATTGTAAAGTTTGATATTCTTTGCTTTTTTTGACCTGTCGATAATTGGAACACTTTGCAACATCTGTGCAAATCACGAATGTGTAACGGTAATAATGAAAGGCATTGATGCCACATTAAACCCAATCTCCGTGTTTGAAAATCGTTATTAACGCATCTTTAGAAATTTCGGCCGTTGATATTTAACGAAAGTGAAAGTAATTTCGTGATATGAGGCGACTTTCTCTGCTCTTGGTGAATTTATTTCCTCGTGTTGTTAAAATGGTTAAACCTTTCGTGTCAAGGTCGACGTGTTCATGATTTTTATTAAGTATTTTTTCGGTTGATGGTGATAGTAGTGGGTGTTTGGAGCGAAACGTTGTTTATGTAATAATTTAAGATTCTTGTGTGTTATTACGTCCCACGTAGGGTTTCCCATAATGGAAATGTGTTTTTTTGAACAAATTGTATGTTGATTGGTCGACACCCACTTGAAAAATTTCGACTATTTTGAGCGGCGTCCAAATTTATAAATACCGATGTGGACATTAACTATTCTTAGAGTTAGAGAAACTGAGATTTTGCCAATAGTTTGTTGTGTTGAAAGTATAATTAATCGTAAAGTGGCGTTTTCCGGTTTTACGTGAAATTGAGCTAAATACGTTGTTCGCAACCAACGATTCGAGACAAGATTACTCTCTTAATACACAACAGAATTTCAAGTATTATTCGTCAAAATAGAGGTTTGTTAATTCTAAAGACCGATACGTTGACTTTTTTTAAATGTAATACGCTTAAAAAAGCAAAAATTCATAAATTCTGATCTTCAAAACAACTTTTTTCAGTTATTTTTGAAGTAATCAATCTTGGTTTTTGCAGGATAATTTAAAAGAACATTCTATAGGGCGATACATTGACATTTTTTTGAAAAAGTGTTTTGTTTTTGAGATATTGTGATTGATGTAAAAAACACGTTATTTAACGGTAGACCCTAGGATCGTTTTAGTTTTTTGGTATTTATTACAAAATATTAATTTTCAACTAATTCAASAAACGTTATGTAATAAAACACTGTTGTTTTCAAATTATTAATGAATTTTGCCCTAAAATGCCTCCTAGTTTATTGCTTTTACCACTAGAGGTGTTGCTTGTGCTGTTTTTGTCGGGGGTTGAGGGTTTCTACCTGTCTTTGTCACAACTCAAGCAAAGGACGAATTTGGGGTCACTTTTATTGTGTAATTAGCATAATAATTTTCGGTTATTTCTGTTCAATTTTTTATTTTCATTTCTTAAAGAATTCTTTCTTGTTTTTTCTTTTTGTTTTTGAGTGACTGGCAATGATTTCTTTATTTACTTTTAGTTATTAAGTAACTTCCGAATTTATTATTATTTAATTTTTATATTGTTTATAATAATTATTTTTATTTTATGTTATAATTGTTTTTTTTTTCTATTAATTTTCTTTTGAAGTTAAATTGAATAGCTTCAAGCTAGACTTCACCTCCGCATCTTTGTATTACTTTTAATTTATTAATAAAGACCTTTATTATTATTATTATTATTATTAGAGAATCAGAGACTAAAACATTTTCGGTCAATTCAAAAAACAAACAAATTTTGGTTCTTCAAATATTAATAGAAATAGAATTTTAGAAAGAATTTATCTTGCACCCACATTGGTCATCAAATAAATAAATTTGACACATTTTATGTTATTGACATTGACCTACAATAAAAAATAATGTAAGTAAATTTATTATTTGTAAACAAGTCTGAAATAAATAGTTTTTTAGTGAGGCAACTGAAAAAAATCATTGGACAAATCGATTTTGTTTTTTAATTTTGTTGTTCTTCATAAAAAAAATATATTCGGCTCATAACGATTTTTGTATAGGACATGCATTTTTTTTTCTAACTAGAAATGAAAACTTCGAATTTTTCTACGGTTAAGTGGTACCCAAAATGTGGTTAGTGGTAAAAAAATTGCAATGGAAAACAAGGACACTTTTAAACTAAAAGAATCTAGCTAAAAAAATTCAAAGATGATTTTTTTTAATAATAATAATAATAAATTTATTGGTGCAGTAAAACAAATATTTTTTACACAGGTCACAACGGGAAGAAGCACTAGGCTATAAATCACTAAAAACTTTAAAACTTTTTGGTGCGTATTTGATTGACATAAAAATATAAAACTGACTTTATGTGCAACTTTTTTTCCGATTTTTGTAGTTTTTGAGAAAAAATGTCAAGAATCAACATAATTTTTGAACTATATAGAAAACGTACTGCAGCTGCCTGCTGGCATGATTTTATTAGGAAATTGACGCCAAAAATAAATTTCAACTAAAACTTTCAAATTTTAGTTTCAAACGTCAATCATAATGACAATAAAGCATGGCGTGCATTGACATTTTTTGAACTTGTATAATTCGATGTCCAAAATTCCGTGTCCGCTATTGTACAAATTAACAAAAATTTAATTTCTACTGAAAATGGAACTTCGTTATTCATACCAATAATATTTTTTAAGACCTAAAAGTTAAAACAATATTTGGCTTTCTTTCTGGGGCAACTTCCACAAGTTCAAGGGATTAAAATATTACCGAACTGATTTTGGTTGCATAATAAGCAGGAACGACGAATGAAATGTGTTTTTTGTTCCAGGTTCAAAGACACGAAAACGCAAACCAAGTGAAACCCGTCCGAATTTCGGTGGTATAAAAGAGGATTTGGAGAATAATAAGCAAAGTCGCAAGAGGAATGTGTCAAGTAAGAAGAAAGTTTTAGAAGAGGTGAACAATAGTAAGCTTCGAGAGGTAGAAATCCGCGTGGAGGACTGCCTATTGAAGTCCTCGTCGACGGTAGAGTGTTCGGATTTAGATGACACGAGTAACGGCAGTAGTGTGCAATTAGTGCCCGTGGAAGTCGTCCCCGAGGATGAAGACTCCTCAGTGCGCGTTGCTACGTCGTCTATGCCGGTGTCTGGAGCGGTAACTGAGGTAGTCAGCGAGGAGGACGACTGTGTGATAGTGGCCCATCAACGGACGAGAGTAAAAATCTCAGGGCGCGAGTGCTCCAGCCGCGGTGACGATGACGGACCCCTGTCCTCGTCCTCGCCCTTCAGCAGGATGGAACTCTCCGACTCCGCGAACGCGTTGCGCTTCCCGGATGACCGCTCCGACTCCGGCGTGAGTTCCCTGCGTTCGAGCAGCGGCGATGAACGCTCCGGATCGCGTTCAAGCGCGTTGAGTTCCTCCGACGAGCCGCAGAATACGTCGACGTCGACGAACCGGTCGCCGCTCTTCATACCGGCCCAAGGCCATCATCATACCGCCACCGAACCGGTGCGCGTGTGGAGAGACCCCAACTTGCTGTTGGAGTCAGAACCGCACGTCCGCCACATACACAGCGTGCAGCATCAGTCGCTGCTCATGTCGCACCCTTCGACGCCGGCCGTCTCGGGCCCGCCACCCACCTCGAACACCACTGCCACGCATCCGGCGGCGCTATTCCCGCCAGTGCCGCCACCACCCACACTCATGACGCCGCATCCGCTACCACATCATCCCCATCTTGCACCAGCCACGCTATATCCCCATCCGCATCATCTGGATATCCTATGGAAGCAGCAACGGTATGCGCCGCTCGGTGCGCATCTCCTCACACAACCTGGGGCACATCCCACGGAGGAGATGCTCGAGAGGGAGCGAGAACGAGCCGCCCTCATCAGGTACATAATGTCATTGAGCAAAACAAAAAGTTAAATATTACAAATCCGTATGGTGGGGCAATGTCATTTTTTCTCTCCATTTTTTTTTAAACAATTGTCAAAGTGTTGTCATGTTTAAAATTGAAAGTACAACGTAAAGGGCACAGAATATGTTGAAGATGGAATTGGTTGGTATTAGAATTATTTTTGTGACGTTGCGGATGGCGGGAATACACTACCTTTTAGAACGGAACTATTACGAAAGGGTTTTTTTGTGAATCTTACTGTTTTTGAGGAAATTAATACGATAGCGAGTCAGTCTTACCCTAGCTCTCGTACGAGTTAATTGAATTATAATAATTGTTCGAATAAATT